ATAAACCACAAAATTCTAGTGCCAGGGTTCAGATGCCCATAAGCATAATAAGAAAACTGTCAAGTGTATAAAAGGTCTCATATTGCTAGTGAGTATGTAGGAGTGTACAGCCCTTACTGCCGCACAAAGCAACATACCACCTGACTCAGTAAGTCCAATACTATAAATTTATCCTAAGGATTTTCACACTAAACAGTTAAGAGTACAGCTTTTGCCGTGGCCGGTGTGGCTCAGTGGCTAAGCGTCGACATATGCACCAAGAGGTTGCCAGTTCGATTCCCGGGCAGAGCACATGCCCCAGCTGTGGGCCAAATCCCCAGTGGGGGGCATGCAGGAGGCAGCCAATCAATGTTCTCTCTCATTGATGCTTCTCTCTCTCTCTCCCTCTAAAATCAAGAGGGAAAAAAGAATTTAAAAAAAAAGAGTGCAGCTTTTGCTCTGGCCGGTGGGGCACAGTTAGTTAGGCGTCATCCCATGCACTAAAAGGTTGCTAGTTTGATTCTAGGTCAGGGCACGTGACCAGACTGCAGGCTCCATCCCTGGTGAGGGGTGTGCTGATGTATCACTCTCACACTGATATTTCTCTTCCCACCTTTCCTCTCTCTAAAAATCAATTTTAAAAATCTTAAAAAAGCCCTGGCCGGTTTGGCTCAGCGATTGGAGCGTCGGCCTGCGGTACAGAGAGACCCAGGTTCGGTTCCCGCTAAGGGCACATACCTCGGTTGCAGTTTGTCCGTGGCCCTGGTTGGTCGTGTGGGTGGCAGCCACTCAATGTGTCCCTTCACATCAATGTTTCTCTCTCTCTCTCTCTTCCTCTCCCTCCCTCCCACTCTATCTGAACAAAAAAATGTCCTCGGGTGAGGATAAAAAAAAAAAAAAGTCTTTAAAAAAAAGTGCAGCTTGAACATAACCTAAATATCATATGCAAAAACATAATTTTTTCCAAAGTTATCACTCTGAAAAGAAGAGGTCACCTTACACCTGAGTTGCAAAGTCTCCCAAATTATTAGCCATTCTCTTCATAAGAACACCTAATTTTGAACAAAGTACTAATGGGAAAAGAATGTTATCTTGCAATAAGTTCTATCAATATTAGTTCTGTTACTTCCGGTCAAGATGGTGGTATAGGTAAACGCTGTATCACTTCCTCCCACAACCAAATCAAAGTTACATCAAAGTTACAGCTAAACTACAGAACAACCAGAATTCAAAGCCACCTGAAATCAAGCTGAATGGAAGTCCTACAACTACGGAATTAGAGAAGCAGCTGCATGGAGACTGGTAGGAGGGGTAGAGGCAGTGGGGCTGGTCCCGCACCCATGTGTGGTGGATAAAAATCAGGAGGACACCTCGGCTGGGAAGGTCCTCCCTGAGGACTGAGTGGGTCCCCGTTCCACACCAGACGCCCCGCTCAGGGTTCCAGTGCCAGGAAGAGAATCCCCATAACTTCTGGCTGGAAAAACCAGCGGGAACTGAGGCTCAGGGAAGCTGACGTGGCTGGAGCCCCAGGCAGCTCCTTAAAGGGCCCGTGCACGAACTTATTGGACTCACTCCCTCTCAGCTTGGAGGGGAGGCAGCTCGAGGGGCGCCAGAGACATACAGGAAAGAACTGAGCTGTTTGGCATTGGAGCGAGGGCTGGAGAGGGGGCTTTCTCCAGGACAGATGTGCTGTCAGAGGCCTTTATTCCTTTGGTGAGCCCTTCCCTGGGGTGGCAGACAGTTGCCATATCTGGGACTCTAGCAACCTGGCTCACACTGGTAGCCCCGCCCTGGTGATTCCCTGAGGCCCCGCCCCACCCAACTTTCAGGCCCACCCAAGCTGTTGCCAGTTGCTTTACCATAGGATTGGCCAGTCTTGGATCCTGCTTCAGGTTTTCCTAAATTCTTTCAAACAAGCAGCATCTGATCTCAGCTAGCCCCACACCTCTCATTAAGTAATACACAAAAACAAACACAGGGAGGCAGCCAAAATGAGGAGACAAAGAAACAGGTCCCAAATGAAAGAACAGAACAAAACCCCAGAAAAAGAAATAAGCGAAATGGAGATAAGCAACCTAACAGATGCTGAGTTCAAAATACTGTTTATAAGGATGCTCAATGAACTTAGTGAGAACCTCAGCTAATTTAGTGAGGGCCTCGCCCTGGCCAGTTTGGCTCAGCGGTTAGAGCGTCGGCCTGCGGTCCGGAGAGACCCGGGTTCGGTTCCCGCTAAGGGCACGTACTTTGGTTGCAGTTTGTCCCTGGCCCTGGTTGGTCGTGCGGGTGGCAGCCACTCGATGTGTCCCTTCACATCGATGTTTCTCTCTCTCTCCCTTCCTCTCTCTCCCTCCCACTCTATGTACAAAAAATGGAAAAATATCCTCGGGTGAGGATAAAAAAAAAAAGAATTTAGTGAGGGCCTCAAGAGTATAAAAAAGGACCAATCAGAAATGAAGGATGTACAGTCAGAAATGAAGGAGGCACTAACTGAAATAGAGAATAATTTACACAGATTTAATAGTAGAGTAGGTAAAGCCAAGAAGCAAACCATGGAGTTGGAATATAAGGAAGCAAAAAACACCCAATCAGAACAGCAAAAAGAAAAAAAGAATTAAAAAAAAATGAGGACAGTGTAAGGAGCCTCTGGGACAACTTCAATGCGTGCCAACATTCGCATCTTGGGGGTGCCAGAAGGAGAAGAGAGAGAACAAGACATCAAAAACCTATTTGAAACAATAATGGCAGAAAACTTCCCTAACTTGGTGAAGGAAACAGACATACAAGTCCAGGAAGCACAGAGTCCCAAGCAAGATGAACCCCAAGAGGCCCACACCAAGACACATCATTATCAAAATGCAAAAGGTTCAAGACAAAGAGAGAATCTTAAAAGCAGCACGAGAAAAGCACTTAGTTACCTACAAAGGAGTTCCCATTAGACTGTCAGCTGATTTCTCAAAAGAAACTCTGCAGGCCAGAAGGGAGTGGCAAGAAATATTTAGAGTAATGAAAAGCAAGAACCTACAACCAAGAATACTCTATCCTGCAAAGCTGTCATTTAGAATCGATGGCCATATAACGAGTTTCCCATACAAGGAAAAACTAAAGGAGTTCATCACCACCAAACCGTTATTATATGAAATATTGAAGGGTATTCTTGAAGAAAAAGATAAAAAATATGAACAAACAAAATGGCAATGAATACATAGCTATCAACAACTGAATCTACAAACAAAATAAACAAGCAGAACTGAAACATTCTCATAGATATAGAGAACATTTTGTTGGTGGCCAGATGGGAAGAGGGATGGGGGAAAGGGTGAAAAAGGTGAAGGGATTAAGAAATACAAATTGTTTGCTAGACTGACAAACCTCAAAGGGAAGGGGGTTTGGGAGATGAGAAGAAATAAACCAAAGAACTTATATGCATATATGCATAACCAATAGACACAGACAACTGTGGGAAAAGGCGGGGGAAAAATGAGGAACATCTGTTAATACATTCAACAATAAAGATAAAAAAGAAAAAAATTAGTTCTGTTGTTTATAGGGTGCCACCCAAAGGATTTCATAAAAATGGAGGCAAGGAGCCCGGGCCGGTTTGGCTCAGCAGTTAGAGGCAAGATTGATCAACGTGTCTCTTTCACATCGTTGTTTCTCTCTCTTCCCTGCCGCCTCCCTTCTTCCCTCCATCCCTTCCACTGTATCTTTAAAAAAATCAATGGAAACATATCCTCAGATGAGGATTAACTAATAGCCTGGCCAGTGTGTCTCAGTGGTTGAGCATCAACCCATGCACCAAGAGGTCGCCAGTTCGATTCCCCGTCAGGGAGCAGGCCCAGGTTGTGGGACCAATCCCCAGTGGGGGGAATGCAGGAGTTGGCCGATCGATGTTCTCTCTCATGGATGTTTCTATCTCTCTCTCCCTCTCCCTTCCTCTCTTTCTAAAAATAAATAAAGAAGGAAAAAACTAAAATAAAATAAATAAAGGCAAGGAAATTTAACAGATTTGGTCACGATATACAGGGGCATGACCTCACATTTTCAACTGCTGAATATCCCTATAAATAAGCCCTCTAAATGTTATCTTTTTAAAATACAAAAATTAAAGTAATATAGTAAGTGGTTACACTGTGAGGGAAAAAAACACATCATCTACAAAATAAATAAAGCAAACAAAACCGTCCAAGAAATGTTATTCAAATGGACACTTGTAATCTAGGGGAAAAGTTCCAGAGAGGACATTATTTAATAAGCTTTTACTTCAAAAGGAAATCTAGAAAACTGTGTTAGAGGAAACAGATATTTAACTTTTAAAAAGTCAACATTATTAACTTTTATAATATAATTTACATACAATAAAATGCACCCATTTATACTTGGATGAGTTTTAAATATGTACACACTGTGTAACCACTACCTCAACTAAAGTATCAAACCCCAAGTTCCCTCATGTTCCTTTGCAGTCAACCCCCTCAGCCTAGACAACCAATGATCCATAGATTAGATCTGCCTATTCTAGAACTTTATATAAATTGAATCACATGTACTCTTTCCTGTCTAGCTTCTTTGCTCAGTATAATGCTTTGACAATTATCCATGTAGTTGTATGCTTCAATAATTCATTCCATTTCATTACTGACTAGTTTTTCACTGTATGAACACATCTCAATTTGTTTATCCATTTACATGCTGATGGATACTGTCACTGTTTCCAGGAATCATCAAAAAAGTTACTATGAACACTGGTATACAACAGACTTGTGGACATATACTCATTACTCTTAATATTTTTCATTACCTAAGAGTAAGAGTGCTGGATCACATGGCAACTATATGCTTCAACAGTTAATAAATTTTAACTTAAAAAATTTTTAAAGAATTTTTTCAGTGTTTAAAGTAAACTGTTTTCCAAATTAGTTGTACCAGTTTACAGTCCACCCGCAATGTTTGAGAGCTCTAGATGCTACAATACCCACAACCACACAGAATAGTCAGTCTTAATTTTAGGCAATCTAGTAAAGATGGAGTGGTATCGGGTGCTTTCATTTGCATTCCACTGATGACCAAAGAGGTTCAGAAGTTTTTCAAATGTTTAATGGCTTTTCAAATATTTAATGGCCATTCATTTATCTTCTTTTGTGATGTGCTTTTTTAATTCTTTTATGTACATGAATATATATTTTTTAATGTTTATATTGATTAGAGAGGGAGAGATGGAAACATCTATAGGTTGAATCCTGCACACCCACTACTGGGGATCAAGCCTGCAACCTGGGTAAGTACCCTGACCAGGAATCAAACTTGTGACCTCCTGGTGCATGGGAAGATGCTCAACCATCTCAGCCATACTACCCAGGCTTACTCCTAAATTGGGTTGTTTCATGTATTATCGATGATGCTAGCTAGGTTTCTGTAGATGCTCTGTAACAACCTGAGGAAGTTTTGTTCTATTCTTAGCTTGTTTTTGTTCTAATCCACCTTGTCTTTCAAATGCTCCTTTCTAACTTGTCTAATTTATCGGCATAAAATTGTTCATATTAGTCATTATCTTTTTAGAATCTATAGTGGTGGCCTTCTTTCATTCCTTGTACTTTGAATTTTTCACTTTTATTCTTTATTTTTTTCCAATCCTCACACGAGGACATTTTTCGATATTTTGTTCAGATAGAGTGAGAGAGAGGGAGGGAGAGAGAGAGAAACACTGACATGAAAGGGACACATCAAGTGGTTGCCACCCGAACGACCCAACCAGGGCCGGGGACAAACTGCAACCAAGGTACGCGCCCTTAGCGGCAACCAAACCTGCGTCTCTCTGGACTGCAGGCCAACGCTCCAACCGCTGAGCCAAACTGGCCAGGGCTCACTTTTATTCTTTTTTTTTTTTATCCTCATCCGAGGACATTTTTCCATTTTTTGCTCAGATAGAGTGGGAGGGAGGGAGAGGAAGAGAGAGAGAGAGAGAGAGAGAGAGAGAAACATCGACGTGAAAGGGACACATCAGTGGCTGTCACCCGCATGACCAACCAGGGCCGAAGGTCAAACTGCAACCGAGAGGCACATGCCCTTAGCGGGAACCGAACCCGGTCTCTCTGGACCGCAGGCCGACACTCCAACTGCTGAGCCAAACTGGCCAGGGCTCGCTTTTATTCTTTTTTTTTTTTTTTTTTTATCCTCACCCGAGGATATTTTTCCATTTTTTGTTCAGATAGAGTGGGAGGGAGAGAGAGGAAGGGAGAGAGAGTGAGAAACATCGATGTGAAGGGACACATCGAGTGGCTGCCACCCGCACGACCAACCATGGCCGGGGACAAACTGCAACCGAATTACGTGCCCTTAGCGGGAACTGAACCCGGGTCTCTCCGGACCGCAGGCCAACACTCTAACCGCTGAGCCAAACTGGCCAGGGCTCACTTTTATTCTTGATCAATCTTTTCAAAGAATCAACTTCTGGTTTCATTGGATTGCTCTATTATTTATCCATTTTCTATTTCACTAATTTCCACTATAGCCCAGTTGGTGTGGCTCAGTGGTTGAGTATCGACCCATGCACCAAGAGGTCACTGGTTCGAGTGCCGGTCAGGGCACATGCCCAGGTTGTGGGCCTGATCCCCAGTGAAGGGCATTTAGGAGGCGGCCAATCAATGTTTCTATCTCTCTCTCCCTTCCCCTTCCTCTCTCTCTAAAAATCAATAAAGAAAAATTATTTAATTTCCACCATTATCTTTATTATTTTCTTCCTTCAACTTATTTTGGGTTTAGTGTACTCTTCTTTTTCTTATTTCTTAGCATTAATCTTAAGAAATATCACTATTTCCTAATATAAGAATTTAATGTTATGGCCCTGGCCAGTTTGGCTCAGCGGTTAGAGCGTCCGCCTGTGGTCTGGAGAGACCCGGGTTCGGTTCCCGCTAAGGGCATGTACCTCGGCTGCAGTTTGTCCCCGGCCCTGGTTGGTCGTGCGGGTGGCAGCCACTCGATGTGTCCCTTTCACATCGATGTTTCCTTCTCTCTCTCTGCCTCTCTCTCCCTCCCACTCTGTCTGTACAAAAAAATGGAAAAATGTCCTCGGGTGAGGATAAAATAAAATAAAATAAAATAAAATCTTTAAAAAAAAAAAAAAGAATTTAATGTTATGAATTGCCCTCTAAATGCTGCTTTAGCAATATCCCACAAATTGTTTAAATTATCATTCAGTTCAAAATACTTTGATTCTCCCAGTGTTTTCTCCTGTAACCATCAATTTTTTCTTTTAATTTTGTTATTTAATTTCTAATATTTAGAGTTTTTCCAAAACATAATTTCAATTCTCCTAAATTTATTGAGATTTGTTTAATGACCCAGCATATGTTCTATTTTGGTGAATATTCAAGATGTTAAGAATGTGTATTCAGCCCTGGGCGGTTTGGCTCAGCAGTTAGAGCATCGGCATGCGGTACAGAGAGACCCCGGTTCGGTTTCCGCTAAGGGCACATATCTCGCTTGCAGTTTGTTCCAGGCCCTGGTTGGGTCGTGTGGGTGGTAGCCACTTGATGTGTCCCTTTCACATCGATGTTTCTCTCTCTCTCTCTTCCTCCCTCTCCCTCCCACTCTATCTGAACCAAAAATGAAAAAATGTCCCCGGTAAGGATTAGAAAAAAATATGTGTTTTTTTTTTTATTGATTTTTTAGAGAGAGAGGAAGGGAAAGAGAGATAAAAACATTGATGTAAGAGGCGGCACCGGCGCTTCCCCGCCGCTGGGCGCGGCCGGCCGCCCCCGCCCTCGAAGCGCAGCGCCGTCGCCATGTCTTCCGGGCCAGCGTGCACGCCCTGCAGCGCCTGGTGGAGCAGCTCAAGCTGGAGGCCGGTGTGGAGAGGATCAAGGTCTCTCAGGCCGCTGCAGAGCTCCAACAGTACTGCGTGCAGAACGCCTGCAAGGATGCCCTGCTGGTCAGCGTTCCAGCGGGAAGCAACCCCTTCCGAGAGCCCAGATCCTGTGCTTTATTCTGAAGACTGGAGGAAAGAAGTTCGCTGAGGAATGCTCAGGCGCCAAGAGAGGAATGACTGCCTCCAAGTCTCAAGAAAACAGTTTTCTCTAACCAAATGACTTTCCTATGACCTGGTCCAAAGCCAAAATTCTACAGAAATTTGATGAGTTTCAACTCAAATAAGGAAACTGGGTGAAGAAGTAGACAGACTTTTAAATAATGGCCTGGTTTGTTTGGTGAAATGCTTTATAGTTAAGACAAACAAACACTTTACCACCAAATATACAAAAGTGCACCTCTTTCATAAGTGAATTACTAGTGTTTCTATACTTGGAGTATTATATATGTTTTATTTACTGGATGTTTACATTTTGAGGAGAACATTTTTGTTTATTGAAAAAAACTCGAATATTTTAAATTTGTTGTTCCTAAGATATTTACACCATGACAAAATTTGTTCTTTTCTCATGAATTTACAATTTCTAAATGAAGGTAAGCCAATGTACAATTAAGGGGGGGCGGCGGTAGACTTTATTAATCAAGTGATGTCTTGATTTTTGTAAGTGAGAGATTGTTTTATTTTTAACACTAAATATGGAAGCTGTCTCTTAGCAAACTTGTTTAGAGAGACAAACGTGCTGTGTATTGGATCTCCCCAGTCCGTGTATGAAGCAGATCTGATCTTTGTCTTCTGAAGTTCCTCTACTTTATAGTTGTGGTTGTACTTTAAAAAAATACTGTATTACTTTATGCCTTTCAAAAATGTTTAAAATGTGACTTACAGAACACTGCAAATGATTAAAAACAAAGCAATGTGAAAGTCTCACAACTAAATGAATTCTTAATGTCCTAAGTGTTTTATTTTGATGATGTGCCTTTGATTTGATTTGAGACACTTTTAAAATGATACTTTGTGTTTGTAATAATCTTTGAAGGGCTTGGAAATAAAATGTCTGCCTAACTCATCATTTTCTATGACAGAAAAAAAAAAAACAAAAAAAAACATTGATGTAAGAGAGAAACATCCCTTACTGGGGATCGCTCGATCACAACCCGGGCATGTGCCCTGACTGGAAATTGAACCAGAACCTCTCAGTCCATGGGACAATGCTCAATCCAGTGAGCCACAATGACCAGGCTATCACTTTCTGATTCATGTATTTTGATACTTTTATTGGGGTTACACACATATTTAGGGTGTTCCTTAATTTTTCTCTACTGATATTTGAGGCTGGATAATTCCTCGCTGTGGGGGCTAGTTTGTATTATAAGAGGTTTAGTATCCTGGCCCCTAGATGCCAGTAACACCTCCACCACCACTTGTGACAACCAAAAATGTCTCCAGATTTGCCCCTCAGAGTAAAATTTGCCCCCCAGTTGAGAATAACTGGGCTGGGTTAAAACAAACAAACACACGCGCGCGCGCACACACACACTTCAAACACAGAATGAAAATATGTTTTACAGAAATTTTCTTTAAAACAAATTAAAAACTGCCCTGGCCAGTTTGGCTCAGCGGTTAGAGCGTCAGCCTGCGGTCCGGAGGGACCCGGGTTCGGTTCCCACTAAGGGCATGTATCTCGGTTGCAGTTTGTCCCCGGCCCTGGTTGGTCGTGCAGGTAGCAGCCACTCGATGTGTCCCTTTCACATTGACGTTTCTCTCTCTCTCTCTCTCTCTCTCCCCCTCCCGCTGTATCTGAACAAAAAGGAAAAATGTCCTCAGGTGAGGAAAAATTAAAAATTAAAAAAATTAAAAACTGCCCTGGCCAGTTTGGCTCAGCAGTTAGAGCGTTGGCCTGCGGTCTGGAGAGACCCGGGTTCAGTTCCTGCTAAGGGCACGTACCTTGGATGCAATTTGTCCCCGGCCCTGATTGGATTGTGTGGGTGGCAACCACTCAATGTGTCCCTTCACGTTGATGTTTCTCTCTCTCTCTCCCCCTCCCACTCTATCTGAACAAAATATCGTAAAACGTCCTCGGGTGAGGATAAAAAAAAAAATTTAAAACTAAACAGCACTTCTTATACCATTATAGAAAGCTTGGATTTTGATTCAATGGGGAACTTCTATGAAGAATGGTTACAGGTAGATTTGTCTTAGTAATAATAAATTAAATGACCATTGATTGCCTCCCGCACGCATGAGCCTGACCAGGGCCTGGGACTAAACTACAAATGAGGTTTCCCAGGCAGCTGCAGATCTGAAACAATTCTGTCTGCAGAATGCTCAACATGACCCCCTGCTGACTGGAGTGTCTTTAAGTACCAATCCCTTCAGACCCCAGAAAGTCTGTTCCTTTTTGCAGTGAAATGAATCTTTGAAGGTGTTCTAAGCCACTTCTCTTGTACGGATGAATATTCAAAGAGAGTTAAATTGGAAACCTGTATAAAAAAACGTATCTTGTAACATGTGCCATACTATTCAATCTTCTGCTTTTGTCAGTCCTTAACATCTACCTCTCTGAATTTTCATAAATTTTTGCTCCACAAGGGTGATTATACACTGGCAGCAGCACACAAATAAAGTAATTAGTATAACACACATATTTTTCTTTTTTTAAATGATCAGAACAGGTAATCTAGAGAGAAAAAAAGTGAGCCAGTGGTTGCTTGGGAGAGGAGGAAGAGCACAGTAATGAGAGATGATAGCTAAGAGGTATGGCAAAAACCACTAAACTGCACATGTAAATGGATGAATTATATAGTACATGAATTATATCTCAATAAATCTGTTTTTAAAATTATTATTATAGTTCACATGTACTGATTAGTAACAAGGTGGCAGGCACATTGTAAGCTCCTCACATGCACTATATCTAGATCTCACAATAACCTATTTACAGCAATAACAATAGACACCACTTTTATTGATAGCACTTACTATAGTCTAGGTAGCTAATCCTCACAGCAACCCATAAAGTAGGCAATATTATCTCCATTTTACAGATAAGAAAACTGACAAATAAAAAAGGGGCTAAGGGGAGGGGGGAATCACTGGGGGAAAAAAGGAGAATCATTTGTAACAAAAATTAATCAATAAAAAAAAAAAAAAAAGGGGGCTAAGGCCCTGGCCAGTTTGGCTTAGTGGTTAAAGCATCAGCCCACGGACCAAAGAGTCATGGGTTTGATCCTGGTCAGGGGCACATACCTTGGTTGTGGTTCATCCCCAGCCCTGGTCAGGGTTGTGTGGGAGGCAACCAGTCAATGTGCCTCTCTCACATCGATGTTTCTCTCACTCTCTCGCTCCCTCCCTATCTGAAGATAAATAGAAAAATGTCCTCGGGTGAGAATTTAAAAAGGGGGGGGGGGCCTAAGGTCTGCTCCGCCAGAGTTCAGTTGGTTGAGTGTCATCCTGTGCACCAAAAGGTTGGGCATTTTTGTTTTGTTTTTTTCTTTGTTGATTTTAGAGAGAGACAAAGGGAGAAGGAGAGATAGAAACATCAATGAGAGAGAACATTAATTGGCCACCTTCTGCATAACCTGCATTGGGGATTGGGCTCACAACCTGGGCACATGCCCTGACGGGAAATCAAACCAGTAACCTCTTGGTGCATGGGTCCATGCTCAAACACTGAGCCATACCGGCCGGGCGAGGTTGGGTGTTCTGATTCTGGGTCAGGGCACATACCTAGGTTGTGGGTTCAATCCCCAGTCGAGGAGCATATGGAAGGTAACCTATCAATGTTTCCCTATCTAAACATATCCTCAAATGAGGATTAAAAAAGGGATGGGGGGAGCCCTGGCTGGTTTGGCTCAGCCATTGTAGCATCACTTATGGACCAAAAAGAGTCACGAGTTCGATTCAGGTCAAGGGCAGATACCTCGGTTGTGGTTTGATCCCCGGCCCTAGTTGGGGTCATGTGGGAGGCAATCAATGGATGCGTCTCTCTCTCAAATCTTTCTTTCTTTCTTTTTCTTTTCTCTTCCTCCCCCCCATCCCAATATCTCCCTCCTACTCTATCTGAAAATCAATGGAAAAATATCCTAGGGTAAGGATTAAAAAGGGGGGAGTGGGCGCTAAAGTCACAAAGCTAGCTTCAGACTAAGGAATCCATGTCACAGAGTCTGGCCCCAGAGTCCCTGCTTTTAACTATTCTCTATAACTATTTAGCTGCTACCATGTGAAATATAAAAAGACATTGAGCCTGGCTGGTGTGGCTCAGTGGAATGAGCATCATCCCATGGACTGAGAAGTCCCTGATGGACTGCTGGTCAGGGCACAGGCCTAGGTTGCAGGCTCTATGTTTCTCTCTCTCTCTCTCTCTCTCCCTTCCTCTCTCTCTAAAAAAAGCAATAAAAAAATATTTAAAAAAAAGAAAAAAATTTAGATTTTGGGGTATTAGGTAAGTTTTACCAAAGGCCCCAAAAACAATGAGAAAGAATGAATTTGATTTACAGCCATACTTCAGTTCCGGTACTCATACATGCCAAACACTCTGCTCTTCCTGAACACAGATTGTGATCAGGAAGGTAAGGATATGTGATATTGTGATTTATAACAAGAAATATATATTTTGTCTTTGACTTCATCCCAGGCATAGACCTCCTAAAACCCTTTGAATTTCCTGCAATAGAATCAAGAAAGATGTCATCTCTTAGGTTAATGAGGTGCATTTGGAAAAGTACACAAACATGGAGCTGGTTGCCAGAACCAACTGTTTGTTTAGAGGGCTGAAACTTTCAGTCCCACCCCTCTAACCTCTGGGGAGGGTAGAGGGGCTACAGACTGAGTTCAGTTATCGATGGCCAAAGATTTAATCAACCATGCCTACGTAATGAAGCCTCCATGAAAATCTAAAAGGAGATGATATGTTGGAGAACTTCCGGGTTCTGAGTGGCGCACTCAGAGTATGGAAGTTCCAACCCACTTCCCACATACCTTGCCCTATGCATCTCTTCCATCTGATAGTTTCTGAATTATAGCCTTTTATAATAAACAGTGATCTAGTAAGTAAAATGTTTCTCTCAAACCCAAGGAAGGGGTAGTTAAAACACTTCAACCTACAGATGATCAGAAGCACAGGTGACAA